CGGGATTGATGTTTCCCTGAGGGATGGCTAGTGTTTTACTGTTGAGCTAAGTGTCCTGGGGCCAGCACCCAGCCTTGTGGTCTGCCCTTGAGCAGGTACAAAAGTGTGGGTGACTCCAGGTAGGGTGGCAGCAGCTTGGGATGTTATGTCCTGCCTGCAGGCCTGAGATTGAGACTGTGGGGCTGCATCCACAGGTGTCACAGTTCCATCAGGCTCAATCACTTGTCCTTTCCACTGCTGCCTCCACCCTCGGCTTGCCCCACTTTCTGAGACGTGCCTGAGCAGGGGTGACTGCTGGAACACGTGCCCTGAGATGGGGTACTGGGGTGTCTTGCTCCTGGGACCCCCAGTACCCAAGGACAAGGGAACAATGCCAGTGGGTAGCTGGGGCAAAAATTCTGTCTCTTCCCCAGAGACTTGTTCAAAACGTCACATGGAGGGAGAGGGAAAGGTGTGGGCTGTTTGAATTAGCGATGAGTCAGGCTGGCAAAGCCAGATGGGGAGAGTGCGTGCCTGTTTGTGTGCGTATAAGTAATCTCTGGCTTTGTGTTTTTATTATGATTATTATTTTTATTTCCAGGGGAACGATGAATTTCTCCAACCATCCTGTCTCACTGGAAAGGCTGGCTCTGCTGTCCTGTCCTCCCTAAGCATCCTGGGAGCTGGAGTGACGGTTCACGGCTGTTTTGAGGTTCGGCTCTGAGATCAGAGCCCAAACCAGTTCTTCCTCGCCTTTCATCATCGCAGTTCCAGGGCGGGAGCAAGGTCCGGCTCTGCTGCCGCTACCTTACATGGAGGCAAGAGCAGGGGAAGGCACTTTGGCTCCTTCTCCAAGCAGAGTTGGTCCAGGTTCGCTCCCCTGGGCCTGGGGCAAAGCACTCCTTCAGGCACACGATGAGACATAGCAGTCACACGGACCAGCATGGCTGGGAACCTCACCTGGGGGAAGAGTGGCTGTAGTGGAAAAGGCAATTACAATTAATCTGTTGTTAATAAAAAACACCCTCTTCCAATTGCCTAGGCCAAGACACACTCTCCAATCCTGTCCCTAGCAAAACCTGCCCCGCAAAGTGATGAGGGCAGCAAGAAAACACCCTTGGCAGCACCAAGGGAGGCATGGCTGGGGCACAATTCCCTGCCTGCAGCATGTGCTCCTGTGGTCAGCTGGAAAGTCTTGTGTGGGCCATATCTCCCTCCCTTCCTCTGCCCCATTGATCACCTCCTGGAAAAAAGGACCCTGGAAGCTGTGGTCCCTGAGCCCTCTGGAACTCTTAAGGTGTAGCCCTATGGTTCTGGGGTACAGCTGACCTGGCATAGTGAGGAGGCAAGTACGGAAAGGAAGGAGCAAGGCATAGAGAAACACCTCCCAGCTGAAGTGTGAGGCATGGCCAGGCATCGTTGCAGTCAGCTGCGAGCAGGAGCAGAGCCCTGAGGGTTTCAGTGCTGGAGGGGAGTGAAAGAGCAGCTCAAGTGGGTTTCTGTTCCCTGGAGATGACCCAGCTTATGGGGATCCCCCATGCTGCAGCCAGTGGGTCCCATGGAGCTGGTCCAAGGTTGTGGGTCTGTAGGGAGGAGTGTTGTAGGTCTGAGTAGGCTCCTTGCTCAGGGCTCAACCTTGTGGATGCTGTGGTCCCCATGGAGAGCACGGAGCTGCGGATGGGGCAAGGGTGCCTTAGGTGGGATGCAGCCTGGGTGCTCCAGGGTGGGAAGGATGGTTTGGGGGTGCTTGGAGGGGCTGACAGATCATTCCTCACCACAATGCAAGGTGAGGAATGCAAATGCTCAGGTCCACAGGTTCAAGGTTTCCCTCCTAAAGGATGCTCTCAGGTCTCATGTCCCCCATCAGAAGGGCAATGCTTCCCTGCCATGCGGGGAAGGTCCAGCAACCCGCCATGTTCATGCCGCTTGGGGTGGGCCAGGCGCCATGATAACGGGGCTGTGGCTGTCACCGCACCCTTAGGAAACATTTGGCTTCAGGCACCTGAACCCACGGGGAAGTGATAACTCCCTGGCTCACTTGCTCTGCCTGGACCCACACCTGGCGCTGTTGTGCCTTAGTCACACACCGAGAGTTTTTCCACTGCTGGGCCCCAGATAACCTCCTCCCGCCCCACTGGCCACAGTGTTTGCACTTGTCCTCCTCCGCTGGTGCCAGTCTGGGAGACGCACACCCTGAGCCCTGGTCTGGAGGCACGCATACCTCTGGCCGAGGGCCACCTTTGGTCATGCCTGGCAGCCAGGGCACAGGTAAAGGGCATGAGGTGCACCCTTCCCCAACACCCCAAGGCAGGTAAGGAGCTGGCCTGGAAGGGGCCAGCACTGCCTTCCTGCCAGGGCTAAATGTGGGGGGACAACTATCCCCGAGCTGCTGGGTGACAATGAGATCACCCAGGCTTGGTGTCCTGGACATCCTTGGTATCCAGTACAGTGGGAGGTGGATGATGGTGTTGCAGTGACAGGACACTGATGCCAAAGATCTGGGGCACAGAAGCACTGGTCTCAGCATTACTGGCTTTCCCTGACCCACTGAACTCCCTGGGGTCTCCCTGTGCCCTGCCAAGGCAGGACTGTGGTGCTCCCAGGAAGTGACAGACCTGGGCACATGTTCAAGCAGGACTCTCAAGGATAGACCAGGTGCATGTGGACTCACTAAGGTCTCCAGCCATGCCCCTTTGCTCTTTGAAGGCTGTGCAAACTCTGGAATGCAGTGGCCAGAAACAATACCTCCAGGTCTCCCTGAAGCAGTGCTAATTGCTCCACTGCTGATGGGATTAGCAGAAGCCACCAGCTAACGTGCCCATTAGCTGGTCCATAGAGCTCCTGGTGGCACACAGTCCCGCAGTGACACCCACACTCACAGAGGTGTGAGGGAAGTCAGGCTGTGAATAACACACCCCAGCTTCCCACAATCTTCACCATTCATGAGGTCAAAAAGCTCCTCTCCCTGAGGAGATGAGCTCAAAATGGGCTGTTTGTGGAAGAGGAGAGAGTTGATCACCCTGCACTGGGGCAGAGCTGGAGTCCTGCTGGGATAGGGCTTGAGCAGGTCAGGCTGACAAGTGGGAGATATAATAAAAAAACAAACCCTGAACGGCCATCTGTCTCTGGGTTTTATTTTTGGGACTGTTTTTCTTTTCTCTAAGTACTGTTTAACAATGTGAAGAGACTGTGAATGACCTGCCAGTGAGGGGCAAAAAGAGAGGTCCCCTCTTCTGGTCTTACAAAGCTCTCCCTGGAGCAGCAGTACCAGGCTTGCCAGGCAGACAGGGCAGAGGTGAGACTGCAAAGGCTTGGAAAGACCTGTCTCCCCCTGCAAGCCCAGCTTGGGGGAGCGTGGATGTTACCTCCAGTCCAGCTGCAGCAAGAGAGCAAGGAAACATGCTAGAAATTCTGGCCACACATGCTGATGGGAGAGGACTTGGGTGGACAAGGTAGAGCCAATAGCAAATAGGCAGGACAGGACAAACCTCAGGGTCAGCTCTGTCCTTCTGGAAGGACCAAGATGCTGCAAGCCACCCCTGGCAGTGTGGGAGGGGGCAGAAAAGGGGTTAAATGGTTTCTGGCAACAACAGATGGTACTCTGGGGGTGTCAGCAGTTCCTACTGTGGCATACTGGTGCCGGCTTGGCCCCAGTGCAGAGGCAATATGCCAGTCCCCGTGGGAAGGGATCGCCAGCAGGATGGGAATGGTGTTAACTCCAGTACAGCCTGGCTTGTGTTGAGGGACTCCATGCAAGAGTTACATCACAGTGGGGGGGTTCAGTTCATCCCAGGGCTGCACAGGAGAAGAGATTCGGAGGAATCCTCTCTCCCGAGCTATCCAAGGTGGCTGGCAGATCTGTGTATCTCTGTGCCCTGTGCTGAAACCTTCTGCTTCGGGCAAACCTCTGCCAGGCAGCCTTGCTCCTGCCTTGATGCAGTGGGAAGGGGATTTCTCGAAGTCCCTCCTGGCCCCACACCACCGTTTCCCCCTCTCGTTCCTCCCTCAGAGAGGAGGAAACGGGACAGTCTTATTAATGACTTTCATCCCGGCAGCCACAGGTGAGTGAGCGCTGCGGTCTGGAGTGAAGGCGAGGAGCACAGGCTCTGGAACGCGGAGCCAGGACGAACATCCCTGGAGTGCCATGCGGCGTGTCCCC